TATAATAATAATACATTTTATTTATGATGCACTTTTCTTGAACTAAAAGCGCTAGATTTCAAAATTCAGTTAAAATCACACAATTCTAAGTTCATATTTTGGAATTAATAATAATAATAATAATACCCCTACTCTTTTTCAAAGGACATCCTGGGATTTTTAACAACCGTCTCATCCGAAAAACGGGACCTATCAGTCCCTATCAATACAGTGGGGCATTAGGACCCACACAGACTGCAGAGTGCCCCCTGCTGGTGCCACTAACACCACTTCCAGCTGCAACCTAGCTTTCTCTTGTGGTCTACCATCCAGGCACTAACCGGGCGCAGCCCTGCTTAGCTTCAGTGAGCAATCATCTGAGATGTGCTGAGAGCTACAGTAGCTGCTGGAATTGCAAGGATAGTGAGAAATAAAAACTAAGTATCACAGTTGTGAGTTTCCATGTAGAAATTGTGTGTCACAAAGTCACAATTGATTAAATGCGGAAAAAAAAGCAAGTTTGAGTTATGAGATGAAAAAAATTTGATTTCACATTTTGGATGAATGGAGTTTAATAAAAGTACTTAGTAAGTATTTTTGTAAGTCTTAAGTCATAAGTCTTGCTCAAAATACTTTAAATGTATATAATATGCATATATATATATATATATATATATATATATATATATATATATATATATATATAATCAAAACAACACACAACAGCATAAATATTACCAAAAATAAAGTCATTTTTTATGCACAAATGTTCACTTTGAAATTAAAAATTATTAAGTTTCAAAATGCAATGGTTTATTAATAAAACTCAACCCCAAATATGAGTGTGTTATGGGGAAAAATGTTAAATATATACAGTTGAAGTCAGAATTATTTCCCCCCGTATTCATTTTTTCTCTAATTTCTGTGCAACTTAGAGCAGATTTTTTAAAACAGTTTTCTAAACAAAATAGTTTTAATAACTCATCTCTAATAACTGATGTCTTGTATCGTTGCCATGACGAGTAAATAATATTTGACTACATATTTTTTTCAGGACACTTCTATACAGCTTAAAGGGACATTTAAATGCTTAACTAGGTTAATTAGGTTAACTAGGCAGGTTAGGGTAATAGGCAAGTTCTTGTATAACAGTGGTTTGTTCTGTAGACTATCAAAAAAATATAACTTAAAGGGGCTAATAATATTTACCTTAAAATGGTGTTAAAAAATTAAAAACTGCTTTTATTCTAGCCCAAATAAAACAAATTAGACTTTCTCCAGAAGAAAAAATACAAAAAATCAGTACAAAATCAAAAATACAAAATCAGTCATACTGTGAAAATGTATCTGCTCTGTTAAACATAATTTGGGAAATATTTAAAAAAGAAAAAAAAAATTCCAAGGAGGGAATAATTCTGACTTCAACTGTATGTAAAAAATAAATAAATAAATAAATAAATAATAATAATAAGTTAGACTTGTGAGATGAAAACAGTTGCAGTTATTGTGCTTTTATTCTATGGTCGAAAAAACGTTAATATAATGTTTATGCTCACAGTGTTTAGTAATTATTAAACGTTTATCTGTAAGACATAAAGCTTAATGTTTACGTGGAAACTACATTTCTGTTAATATTGCTTCGTTGAATATACATTTCAGAACAGCATTTCTATCTCCTACTTTTCTTCAATTCAAATTCCATTAGAGAAAAAAGTCCTTTAAAAAACTCATCTTGACTACTTTGGCAAGGCTGAATCTGTTCCTAATCTGTTCAGATTTCTAAAATCAATGTAATGTTTTTTTCTCCCACCCACATTAATAACAATTAAATGTATTAATGTAATATATTAAACGTAATTAAACATAAACCATGCTTGCAGACTGGAATGCATCTCTTTGCAATCTGCAGGGAAATGTCTACACATGTACCAAGCTGTATTATTAATTCATGTAGGATGTGATGCGTATCCACAAAGGCAGCGCTTCAGTAATAATCACATATAACCTGAATTGGTTTGTGTAAGGACATTGGGAAATAAGGCTTTGAATATTAATGGCAAAGATCAAATCGCATTGCGCTGTTGTGACATCCCAAACCAATTTTCATGTTTTGTGAGATGATTCCTTAAGGTCATAAAGGCTGTTTTCACACCACACCGATTGTTTGTTAAGTCTTTTGCCCATATTTAGTAAATAGTTTATAGTTTTTGATTAAAGTGTTCATCTGAAAGGAAAAGTTTGTTTAAAAAAAGTTCAATTACACGAGTCAATGTTTACAAAATGTTTTTCAACAGAGAATAAATCAAGGTAGAAAATACGTGGTCCCTGCAAAGTGATAACTGAATTTTCAATTTGGAGTGAATTATATTTTAACGAAGACTAAATGAAATGATTACTGTTTTATAATGTGCTGTTTGTGTTAATGCGCCATCTAAATGGGATTTCAGTTAGACTCAATTTGAGTAAATACACAGCATCATTTGTGAGTCATTTGGTCACGTCATGGTTTATTTTAGAGTAAAAGGACTCTTGAATATGGTAAATAAAGAGGTTTCAACTTACTAAACCTCCCCGCCAGGCACAGAATGATGGAAAACCACAGTGCTAATTTACATTTGGCCAAAGCATTAGCATTAGTTACTCATTAAATTCAATTTGTGGTTGTGTTTATGATGTGTTTGGTCTCATTTTACAGCTCATTGGCTCTTTCCTTTTATTGTAACGCTAAACCTCTGAGGTTGTTCTCCACTTTCTGGTAATAAAAAGTAGATTTGACTTAATAGTGCAAAATGGAAAGGAAAGCTGGTTCCTTCTAAAATGTGTCCCTGCAGATCTTTCATAATGAAGTAGATTGCGGTTAGTTTTTTGGTGAATGTTATGGTGTTGAAGTCTTGCTTGGGGTTAATAAGATTTCTTGAAGAAGAAATCTTGTCACTAAATTTTCAATATATTTGCGAAGTGGTTTTGTGTAATAGGATTACAATTTGAGGCAATTCACTGGATTTTATGATCAACATTTAAAACAATTAGCATATACCTGCACACTCACCGGCCACTTTATTAGGTACACCTTACTAGTACAGGGTTGGACCAAGCAGCAGCCTCCCTTTCTCCCTCGGGAAGCCAATACGGAAGTAACTAGCCATTCATCGACTCGCCTTGGGGGGCTGGCTCCACGAGATCCAGGTGATTTCTGCAATGGTAAAATGGCAATTTTTACAGCTGATAAAAACATGTTTACAGCCTGTTACAAAAGATGGCTTTGGTGCATAATAAAGTCTGCATAATTAAGGGTGTGGCCACTTTAGTGACAGCTAGGTCTCGCTGCTCGCTGTTTCGTCACCTCAGCTGATTCCAGCTAATTATAGCCGCTGAGCTCCGCATATACATAGTTTTTTTGTTTTGGTTAATGGTTCAGTTGGTTCAGTTGCCTTTTGGAATTATTTCCTGCAATTATCAGATGATAATTAGGCTAAACTTTTTATTGATATAGTACACAGTCAAGCACATGTGGTCAGAACACAAGCGAGTCACAGGTAATAAAGTATTAAGCGTTCTTCCTAAAGTCCGTCTAAGCCAGGTTTAAGCAAAATGCCAGCAGGTGTCTGTCTGTAGCTGTCTGTAGCTCCGCTCATTCTCCGCCTCTTTGCCCTTGTTTGGTATTCCGCCGTGGGTGCGATGACGGCCGAACAAAATGGCGATGATTGGCCACGCCTACTTTTACCTTCTTTTGCAGTGTTCAGAAACCTATGGGTGACAAATACTACACCCATATATTTTACAGCCTTTTGCCTTCAGAACTGCTTTAATCCTCCATGGCATACAGTAGATTCAACAAGGTACTGGAAATATTCCTCAGAGATTTTGGTTTATATTGACATGATAGCATCACACAGTTGCTGCAGATTTGTCGGCTGCACATCCATTTTGCGAATCTCCCTTTCCATTACATCCCAAAGGTGCTCTATTGGATTGAGTTCTGGTTACTGTGGAGGCCATTTGAGTACAGTGAACTCATTCTCATGTTCAAGAAACCAGTCTGACATGATTCGCCTTTCGCGTTATCCTGCTGGAAGTAGACATCGGAGATTGGTAGACTGTGGTCATAAAGGGATGCTGATACAGATGTTTTGAATAATGAAATGTGAAGATAATTGAGACAACAATGTAACAATATGGTTTATTCGTGATCTTTAAGCCATCCACAGTGTTTTCCAATGGAATATCATTATTTGTATCCATCTTATTGGTACATTTTTAGTGTGATTTGATCATCGTTCAACGAGGAGTTGATTTAGAGGTGCGGTTTGGAGAGATTTTCCTGTAAAAAATCTTGTTTTCATAGTTAAACCCCCCCCCCCCCCCCCAAATAAAAATAATCAATATTTGTACTTGTTGCTATCAAAAGTGTCTGTAAAACATCTGGTATTGCTCTAGTTTGATTGTCTCGATCAAACTTTTGCAGTTTCCTTAATTTAGATTGATTGGGGTGTTTTTGTAAGGATGTGAATCAGGTATAAAAAAATAATAAACAAACTGCAAGCAAGAATAATTACAACAGAGCAAAGAAAAAAGTCTAATAAACAGTGCTTTGGAGTTTTCTGTACAGTCAACCCGTATTCAATTGAGTAATGATATGTAAAATAACTCTTTAGTTTTCATTGTATTAATAAGTCAGTACAATTCGACCTCATTTTGTGGCCGAATGCTTCACGCTCACACAAACCCTTAAAACACATGTAAATGATAAAGTTTCACTCTGTTATGGTTATATGACTCCACAAATCTCATGTATTCTTTATTGTTGATCAACTATAATCCCTACGGAACGATGCATGTCCTGCGATATGACTGTTGCAGACACACACATTTGATATTCAATCTGAAACGATATATTGTGCAGCCCTAATAGTTATAATACATATCCATACATTTGCAAAGAGGCAACAGAATTGTGACCGTCAAAACAAATAGTTTGAATTGTACTGTACCTCATATTAATGATGATTATTTTAAATGAGACAGGATGCTTGTAAATGACTGTTGTTGTCCTGCAGGAGTCTGGAGGTGAGAACCCAGGTCCTCATGCATCTCCTGAAGAAAGGAAAGAGAAAGTTCCCAGTCCTCATCTGAGTCAGCTGGTTATCCTGACTGCCACCGACACGCTGTACGGCCTGGCTGAGAGAGTCGTCGCCACTGAATCACTGTAAGCTACTTCAAACCAGCTTGTATATGAGTTTACTGTGCTATAGGCTACATATGGACTAGCCTACTAGATTGACACTTTCATTTTAGAAATAAATACTCAAAATTTCTGTGACGATATTTATTTAACAGGTGATTCCTGTAGGTGCCAAATCAGTCAACAAAACAAAAAGGAATTCACACACCAAAGTTTAAATTTGAACAATTATGTTATGTAATGTGACAACAGAATGCTAAATATCTTGTTTTGTATTTACTTAAAATATTTTAGACTTTCTATGCTGTGTTAGCATGTTACTTTCAAAGTGGTGTTAGTGAGGCCAGCAGGGGACCCTCAACCTGTGGTCTTTTGTGGGTCCTAACGCCCCAGTATAGTGAAGGGGACTCTATACTGCTTAGGGAGCGCTGTTTTTTGGATGAGACGTTAAACCAAGGTCTTAACTCTCTGGTCGTAAAAATCCCAGGATGTCCTTCGAAAAAGAGTACAAATTTGCCAAATTTGCCAACTGGCCTTTCTCCATTATGGCGTCCTAACCATCCCCATATGATATTTGGCTTATCACTCTGTCTCCTCTCCACCAATCAGCTGGGGTGTGGTGTGCGGTCTGGCGCAAAATGGCTGCCGTCGTGTCATCCAGGTGGATGCTGCACACTGGTTGTGGATGAGGAAATTTCCCCCCAAAAATGTGTAAAGCGCTTTGAGTGTCCAGAAAAACTCTATAAATGTAAGAAATTAGTATTATGATTATTATTATTATACATTGATGGATTCTTCGTGTGTTTGTACTAAATACAGTTGAAGTCAGAATTATTAGCCCCTCTTAATTTTTTTTTCTTTTTTAAATATTTCCCAAATTATGTTTAATAGAGCAAGGAAATTTTCACAGTATTTCTGATAATATTTTTTCTTCTGGAGAAAGTCATATTTGTTTTATTTCAGCAAGAATAAAAGCTTTATTCTTATAATAAAAGTTTTAAAAAATTTTAAACACCATTTTAAAGTCAAAATTATTAGCCCCCTTAAGCTATCTATTTTTTTCAATAGTCTACAAAACAAACCATCCTTATACAATGATTCACCTAATTACCCTAACCTGCCTAGTTAACCTAATTAACCTAGTTAAGCCTTTAAATGTCACTTTAAGCTGTATAGAAGTGTCTTGAAAAACATCTAAAATATTATTTACTGTCATCATGGCAAAGATAAAATCAATCAGTTATTAAAAATGACTATTATGTTTAGAAATGTGTTAAGAAAATCTTCTTTCTGTTAAACATAAATTGGAGAAAAAAATAAACAAACAGTGGGGCTATTCTGGGTTAATTTATATATATATATATATATATATATATATATATATATATATATATATATATATATAATATTGTAAAACATTAATATTTTTAATACATTTTCGCACAGAAATCATTCAAATTTATAGTAATTTGTATAGTAATTTAATTCAAATTAAAACTTACTTTTTCCAGGATTTTTTTTTTTTCAGAATTTTATATTGGTATTCAACATGTTTCTGAATGAATATATATAATATTGTAAAAATTAGTATTTTTAATACAGTTTTGCACAGCAATCATTCAAATGTATAGTAATTTGTATAGTAATTTAATTCAAATTAAAACTTACTTTTTCCAGGATTTTTTTTTTTTTTTTTCAGAATTTTATATTGGTATTCAACATGTTTCTGAATGAATATATATAATATTGTAAAACATTAGTATTTTTAATACAGTTTTGCACAGAAATCATTCAAATGTATAGTAATTTGTATAGTAATTTAATTCAAATTAAAACTTACTTTTTCCAGGATTTATTTATTTATTTTTTTCAGAATTTTATATTGGTATTCAACATGTTTCTGAATGAAAGTTTTTTTACTGCCAATTTGAAAGTGAAGATATAAATACAATTTTAACTGAACTATTTCTTTAACGTGGGTTATCAAAAAATGAGTGAAGGCCAGATAGATGCTGTCTGCATCTTACTGTACATATGTGTGAGTGTCGTTTCTGTAGCAGGAGCACACAAATAAACACATTTACATGAAAAAGCTGCTCGACTTTTATCTTATGATCCAGCTTTACTGTTGCTAGGTGATGAAGATCTAACCCCAACAGCCCTTTCAACTGAGCCCGTCTAACCCAATCAGTGGTATCGTGCCAGTTGTTATCTAATCAGCGAACCCCATTAAGCCTTTCTTTCCTCCTGATGAGTCTGCAGAGGTGGGCTGAACCGCTTTGGCAACAGCCCGGCAACTTCATTTCATTATGTGACGTGACACCGCAGGGGAAAAGCTACCTGAAGAATCCCGAAGAGCCAGTTGTCAGGCCTTCAAACCATATCTTACCTTCCAGTCCTCCTTTTCTGACCTTTCTGCTGTTCGACTGATTCTTCAGCAAGACTTTAAGCCTTTGTGCAACAGAAGGGAAAACTCCCTTACAAGTTCACATAGAGAGAGTTTCAGCTTCTCCCTATAGATGCTTTGCTCGCTTCCAGATGGTGTTCGGTTTGTGCCAAGTACTTTGCAGGAGAACCGTTTCAAAGGCTCACGTTTACATCAGTGTGTTTTTTTTTACATTGGAATTTAGCTTAGTTTATCTGTTTACAGGTTCAATGCACAGTAAATAACATTACATTATAATGTGGCAAAATTAGCCAAGAGTTTCTATTTTTAATTTGTAGACCCTTGATAGAATGTTAAAAAGTCACTTTTAAAAATAGACAGAAAGCATAATAACTAAAAAAACAGCTATCATATACAGATTAATAAAAATGATTAGCCCTTCTGTGAATTTTTATTTCTTTTTTAAATATTTCCCAAGTGATGTTTAAAGAGAGCAAGGATTTTTTTAACAGTATTGCCTATAATACTTTTTTAAGTTTAGGTTTGTATATTTTTCACAACAAGGTAGAGTGGATATTAATCAAGCGGCAACATCTCACTATCCTTCGTCAAGCCAATACAGAAGTAACTGACACTTTTTACATTTTTTTTTTTAATTTTACCCTGTCAAATAAAAACATAAGCATTTGTTTGAGGTCATAGAACACATTTTTATGTGCAGTTTTTCCCCAATCCGTTTATAAAACAACACTGCCGCAGGACTGGATGACAGAAACGAAGGTAGTTTCTAATGGTTTCACTCACCCAAAAAAAGCTGTTTGCACGATTTGAATAATATCTTCGTACCCAATTACTTTATAAATAATATTTTAAAACTGTTTATTGTTTTTTTTTTTTTTTTTTTTTAGGAAATATCTTAAATCTCTTTTTTTATTTCAGAAAGGCCTTTGTAAAATGAAAGTTTAAAATGGCTTAAAACGGTTTAATTTATGTATTGCATATGCCTTGTTATAGCTTTTGTTTGTTTTATTTTGTTTTATTTGTTTATTGTGATTTTTTTTTTATATCCAATATTTATAATTCCTTAAATAATTTCAATATAGCTTAGGTCATTTTATCTAAATTACTGACACTATTGTTTTTAGCCTACAAAAGTGGACACATAATTTGTAAAGTTTTATGTCTTTCTGTTGTATTCATATTTTGAGTTATCTCCAAAAGAAAGAAAGAAACTTAGCCGCTCACGGCATCAACAGAGCTGTCAAGCGAGCGCTCTTTCGTCCGGTCTTTTACACACATGCATATAAACGTGCATGTTTCATGTACAAACACACTATTTAAACTTGACAAAAACTCTTGACAGCTGAAAGTTACCAGCTGCTGTGTCTTTAATATGGTGCAAAGACTAATATGCGTTATTGAAACATAAAGGAGGATGCTGCAAAGAAATATTACTTATTCTTATTAAAACTACTTTACTGTTTTATGCAACAGCCTTACATTTAAAAGGGGAAACAAAAGGGCGATCATAAGCAAAAGACCCCTAGTTTATAAGGTGATTTACGGATTAGCATATCTTAAACTGACCAGCTCTGCGTTTTTCTATCCCTTATGTTTTTTTTTTTTTTTTTGCCGCATGTACTCCTGTGAGATCGGATAACTAGTGTAATGGCAGAATGCCATCTTTACCAGACTCGGGCAACTCTGCCTCCTCTTTCACTCCACCCCGAAGTCCCAGCTGGCCCTCTTTGGCCCAAGGTATTTGGTGGGCCAAAAAGGCCGGCCGTTGGCCCTGAGGAAGCCCTGCTTTGGCCCGATCAGACAGCGAAAGTGACAGTGGAAACACTACTGGCCCTTTCTCACCCAGGCATGCTCGCTTTAGGCGCAATAGTGGAAACTCGGATATCGATGCTTTTTACCTCTTTGTCCTTGTTTGGTTACCTCTAATTGCAGCGATAATGACTTATAGCTTCATTTTTGTTTTTCAGAAACCTATGGGTGACGTCACGGATACTACATCCATATCTTTTACAGTCTATGATATTAATCAACGTTCCATAAAATTGTAAATGCACCCAAATATATCCATAGACTCATTTTTATTAGTGGACACTTAGCCAGATGTTAAATGATATACCAACAAAATACAGTTGTATTATTATTTATTATATGCATATTTATATTTGTTTTAATAAAAACAAGTGCAGATTTGTCCACGTGTTGGGTTTTGGAGAGGTATTTGTCACCATATGGACCATAACAACACGACGTGTGTTTGGATATAACTCTTTTTTTTTTTTTTTTTTTTCTTTTTTTTTTTTTTTTCATTATTAGTGTTCATTTGTTAGTTTGCTGGAAATTAGAACTGAATTTATAAATAGTTTTGAAACAAATCTTTGCACTTAACTGAACTTTGAATGAAATTAAACATTGAATTAATTTTTAATTTTTAATTAATTTTTAATTAATTTTGAATTAATTTTTTTTTTTACTTTAATTTTGAATTAAATTAAAGGCTAATGGATGTCTTATGTGGAGTGTGTACAACACCATTTCTTTATCCACGAAAGTAAAGGAGTAAAGTAAAGAGAAAGAAAAGAGGCCGAATGGAGGAGGCTCATTCTTTATCCTCGGGCTGCAGATGGTTTGTTTAACTGTTTTCTCACAAGTGAAGTGTTCAGTTTTTCCACTTACAAAGTCTGCCATGTAAATAGCAAATGCACCATGGCATGATGCAACTGACTCTTAAAGAGAATAGGAGATTAGTGGTTTAATGCACAATATGCTTAAAACACACCATAAGAGAATATGTACAACCTTGTTAGACCATGTTCCGAGGCGCAAACTGTATTTTTCCATCCTTAAAATAGCAAAAGTGGATTCGGACATGGCCTTAATGCTTTTGTGCCATGTGCTTTAGACTTTGTGCCTAGATTGTTAAAATAGAGCCCAATAGTTTTAACAACTCATTTCTAAAAACTGATTTCTTTTGTCTTTGCCATGATGACACTACATAATATTTTACTTGATATTATTAAAGATACTATTATTCAGCTTAAAATGTCATTTAAAGACTTATCTAGGTTAATTAGGATAATTGGGCAAGTCAGGGTAATTAGGCATATCATGACAAATGGTTTGTTCTGTACACTGTAAAAAATAAATTGTTGAGAAAACATAAAAAACAAAGCAACTTGATGCAGTAAGAACTGTTTTTAGTTCTTCTCAGTGACAATATTTTGTTCAGCTAACATAATTTTGTTTATTCATGCAATGTTGATTATTGTATTTTACTAATAAAGATATTCTTGTCACATCAACTGAAGCAACCGTTACTGCTATTGAGTACATTTTTTATCTGTTTCGTAGATTAATTTTTTCAAATCTTCTAAATAAGTAATCCTTAGCATATCATCGGGCGAGGCAGTGGCGCAGTAGGTAGTGCTGTCGCCTCACAGCAAGAAGGTCGCTGGTTCGAACCTCGGCTCAGTTGGCGTTTCTGTGTGGAGTTTGCATGTTCTCCTTGCCTTCGCGTGGGTTTCCTCCGGGTGCTCCGGTTTCCCCCACAGTCCAAAGACATGCGGTACAGGTGAATTGGGTAGGCTAAATTGTCCGTACTGTATGAGTGTGTGAATGTGTGTGTGGATGTTTCCCAGAGATGGGTTGCGGCCGGAAGGGCATTCGCTGCGTAAAAACTTGCTGGATAAGTTGGCGGTTCATTCTGCTGTGGCGACCCCTAATTAATAAAGGGACTAAACCAACAAGGCAATGAATGAATAAATGAATAGCATATCATCCTGTTTTTAATCATTCTACTTATAAATTACCAACACAAACTTACTACTTTTCCAATTTATTTCCATTGAAAGCTACAGATAAACAAGCTTTAGATCAGAAAATTCTACAATCCACAAATGCTTGTAAATATTTTCAAAAGAAAAAGTGCTCCAAATCACAAACTTTGCCGTATACAAGGGGCTTGCTTAAGGGGCTAATAATATTGACTCTAAAGTGGTTTTTAAAAAATCTAAACTTTTGTTCAGGCTTTTATTCTAGATGGAATATAACAAATAAGACTTTCTCCAGAAGAAAAAAGTGTTATAAGAAATACTGTGAAAAATTCCTTGCTCTGTTAAACATCATTTTGGGAAATATTTAAAAAAAAAAAAGCATAATGTTGGAAATTGCTCTGCAGCTGATGCACAAAACCGCGACCACATAGAGCCATCAAAGCACTGGAGAACTCGTTCTCAGAATGCACTAAAAACCACATCGTTTTTTTTTTTTTTTCATTCTTGTGAAGGTTAGTGGCAGTGCAACCTTTTATTTGGCCCTCCATTCTCCCTCCACACTTCCTTTCTTAATGGAATAATCAATGAAGGCTGCGGAGTCGAGCAGAGAGCAGGCGTGAGGGTGTGAAAGATAAGCGACAAAACAGGCTCTCTTGTTACTTCAGAGTGCTGTATTTACACAAGCGTAACCGTACAGCCATAAATTATAACCTGTTCCATATACACTGTTGAGACAACAGTCCGCAGAGTATTAAAATGGCAAACAATGGGCCAAAAAACGAGTGACCTTTTAGTCACTTAAAAATCAAGCTCTGCGTCTTTTTACCTCCCACATAAATGCTTCCTGTTTAGATGTAATTTGCTTCTGCTGTGATGGTGATGCGCTTGCTTCACTGATTACCCGCAGGTTTAAACGACTGCTTTAATTAAACATTCTCGGCAAGCATGTTGTTGGTTGTTTGTCAGGACTCGGCGATAAGGATATAACCTTTCAAGTTTATTTTGATCTTTATTTTTGTTTGTTTGTTTTAATTTTGAAAGGACGCCTCCATTTGGCCAAAATGTGTGTTATAATTAATTGGTTATCCTGCTTATTTCATGCATGTGTGACTTGTCATTCACTCATTTATTCATTTTCCTTTGGCTTAGTGCATTATTTATCAGGGGTCGTCACAGAGGAATGAACCACCAACTATTCCGGCATATGTTTTATGCAGCGGATGCTCTTCCAGCCGCAACCCAGTACTGAGAAACACCCATACACACTTATTCACACTCGTATGGCCAATTTACTCAATTTACCTTTAGCGCATGTCTTTAGACTTTGGACTTGAACCAGCGACCTTCTTGTTGTAAGACAACAGTTCTAACCACTGAGCCACCATCCCGCTTGTTACTTTTCAGTCTTCAGTATACTCTAGCTTTACACATTTTGCTGTAGTGTACATTAGGTGATAAAGCAAATATTTGGACCAGTCCTGCTTGATGAACTCTTCTATCAGTATGTGATCTGCCATTAGCATTAATTATCTGTGGAGAAGGCTAAAAGTCTTCATGAGCGTGTCACTTGTGCTCATTCATTGGCAGCAGGAGGAAACAGTGATTTCTAATTACCTCTTCTTTCTGTTAAAGAGCCTGTTTTTTTTTTAATGCATCTTTTTGTTTTGATTCCTAATTCGGTTGATTTGCTCAGACAACATGAAATAATTGTAGGATCATGTGAGGCGTCTTTGTTTTTCAAATTATGACTTTTGAAATCATGACACCAGAAAAAAATCTATTAAATGAAATGGTAATATACTATCTGAATATTGCAGAGTCTTTAAACTTGTTTTTACCCTGTGGTGTCTTTTGTGTCTATTTATCTTTTGTGTTATTTTTTTATTGCATTATAACACAAATACAATAAGGTAAAATTCCATCAACAACTTTCATCTACATATACAGAACAGAGCACAAATAATAATCTAATCAATAAGGCAGCTAGCTCTCTGCAACTCTCACATGGTCGCCCACTGAAGCTAAGCAGGGAAACATGGGAAAGCTTGGCCACCACCAGAAGTGGTGTTAGTGAGACCAGCAGGGGGCACCCAACCTGTGGTTTGTGTGGGTCCTATTGCCCCAGTATAGTGAACGGGACTCTATACTGCTCAGTGAGTGTCGTCTTTCTGATGAGACATAAAACCGAGGTCCTGACTCTGTGGTTGTTAAAAATCTCAGAATGTCCTTTGAAAAAGAGGAGGGGTTTTAGGCAGGAAAGCTTGACACGCGTAACAGTAGCTAAGAAGGTCAGGGCTTAGCGAAGGGTTCAATTAACGTATAACCAATGTAATCTGAGGTAACTATAATGTAACACAATGTAGCTTGTACAAATGTATAACCTAATGATGGCAGTACTTTTTTATTCATTCATTTTCTTGTCGGCTTAGTCCCTTTATTAATCTGGGGTCGAGAACATGCAAACTCCACACAGAAACGCCAACTGAGCCGAGGATCGAACCAGCGACCCAGCGATGTTCTTGCTGTGAGGCGAAAATGCTACCCACTGCCCTACTTATTTATTTTATTTTACTTATTTATTTTGTATTATTTTTCTTATTTTATTTTTTTAATTTTACATGTTTATTATATTTTTTTTTATTTATTCGTCTTTCTATCCATTTGTTCATCTGTCTGTCTGCCTGTCTGTCCATCTGTCTGTTCCTCTTTTCTATTTTATTTTGCTTATTTATTTTGTATTATTTGTCTTATTTTATTTTTTAAATGTAACATTTTTATTATATATGTTTATTTATTCCCTCATCTCTAAAGGGTTAGATTGTTGTGGAAGGGGTTGTTCTTGAAAACAATAATACTAAAATGTTTTTTTTAAACATAAAACAATGAAGTTTTGCCCTGCAAACTCAAGAATTGTGTTGTTTCAACTCATTTTAGATAAGTAGTTTGAACAAACAGCAAACATCATTTTTCGAGTGTATCGAAGAAAAATAACACAGAGTGAGTCTTTTTATAGTTACTGCAACTCTTAATGTAGCAATCTTTATATCCAGCTCTCCATCTCTCTTTATAGACTGTATTTGAAAATAAAATGAATGCTGACAAATGTAAGCCTCGAACTTAGTTGCCACATCATACTTTTTTCCCGCTAGTGTAACACAGCACAGCCTGTTCCCTGTGGGTAACCAACATGTTGTGATTGTGTGTCACTGCAAACCTCCAGAAAATGCTCTGATTTGGCGTTTTCTTTCCTGCAGAGTTTTTCTTGCGGAGCAGTTTGAGTTTCTTCAGCCTCATCTGGACACCATGATGCCTTCAGCCAAGAAGCCGTTCCTGCAGCAGTTCTACTCACAGGTCAGTTTTCAGCGCTCTGACCTTTAGTTCAGTCTTTCTGTCTGCAGGGCGGCTTTTAAATGTCCAGCGTCTGTTACAGGATTCAGATTGATTATTGGTGAGCTCTGCTCTGAGACCTGACATTTTATGACATCACCAATTTAATTACCAATTAATGAACTAGAGAAACATTCCATCCATCCCTCCATTCATCTGTCTGTCATTTATTTTCTATCCGTCTGTCTATCTGTCATCTGTCCGTCCGTCCGTCTGTCTGTCTGTTCGTCTGTCTGTCTATCTATCTATCTGTCCGTCCATCCATCCGTCCATCCATCCATCCATCCATCCATCCATCCATCCATCCATTTATCTTTCTGTCCGTTCGCCTGTCTTGCGGTCTGTCTGTATATCTGTTATCTGTCCGCCCGTCCGTCTGTCTGTCTGTGTGTCTGTCTGTTTGTCTGTCTGTCTGTCCATCCGTGTATCTATCTATCTATCAGTCCATCTGTCCGTCTGTCTGTCTATCTATCTGTTTATCTGTCTGTCTCTCTATCTGTCTGTTTGTCTGTCTGTCTGTCCACCTGTCTGTTTGTCGTATCTGTCTCTCTATCTACTTATCTATCTATTTATCTATATGTCTGTCCATCCATCTGCCTATCTGTCTATCCGTCTGTCTGTCCATCCCTGTCTATCCGTCTGTCTGTCTGTCTGTCTGTTCGTCCGTCTGTCTGTATGTCTGTCTGTCTGTCTGTCTGTCTGCCTGTCCATCTGTTTGTCTCACTATTTGTCTGTCTGTCTGTCTGTCTGTCTGTCTGCCTGTCTGCCTGTCTGTCTGTCTGCCTGTCTGTCTGTCTGTCTGCCTGTCCATCTGTCTGTCTCACTATCTGTCTGTCTGCCTGTCTGTCTGTCTGTCTGTCTGTCCGTCCGTCCGTCTGTCTGTCTTTCTGTCCGTTTATTCATTTTATCTGTCTGTCCTTCTTTCAACCATTTTGTTCATCTTTCTGTATATCTGTTTGACCATCTGTCTGTTCGTCTTTCTATCTATTTGTCCATCTGTCTGTCTGTCTTTCTGTTCGTCTGGCCGTCTGTCTGTCTGTCTGTCTGTCTGTCAGTTTCTCTTTCTGTTTGTCTGAACGTCTGTCTGTCTGTTCGTCCGTCCGTCCGTCCGTCCGTCCGTCCGTCTGTCTGTCTGTCTGTCTGTCTGTCAGTTCGTCTTTCTGTTCGTCTGACTGTCTGTCAGGCTGTTCGTCCGTCCGTCCGTCTGTTTGTCTGTCTATCTGTCTGTCTGTCTGTCTAATGCAGCAGACTGAAAATGCAAGCTTGTGCAATGAGTTTTACATGGATGCTGTGTTCTAAAGTTCAAGCTTGGTGTACTCTGTTCTGTGAAATGAATTTACATATTGTTCTATTAGTCCCTTTTGGAAATCACTTTTGATAAACACACCTGTCATGTGATTCAATCTAAAAGAATTCCTGACCTCTGCATAAAGTAGTACATTTCAGGATTTACATTTCAATATGCAGTTTACATTTCAAGCACAAGCCACTTTCAGCATGACTTTCACAACTTGTTAGTTTTTGGATAATCGACAAATACTAAACTGCATTTATCACCCCTGATGTCTGGCGGTTATGTATAGGAGCTCTTAATTTTGACATTTTCCGCTGCTGTTTTCTCTACAGACTGTATCAACGGCCAGCGAGCTCCGCAAGCCCATTTACTGGATCGTGGCAGCCAAAGCCATAGATTATGAGCAGATGCTGCTGCTGATGGCTGGAGTGAAATGGGACATTAAAGAGATAATGTCACAGCACAACGTCTACGTGGATGTCCTTTTAAAGGTAATGTGTTTGTGTGCGCAGCGGTCTTTATGTGCAACGATAATGTGTTGTTCATTACACACTAGAGGAGAGAGCAGGTGGGAGAATATCAGTAGAGATTAGCCAACCTTTACTTCATCTATCCACCTTTTTCCTACAGCTCCGTGATTTTTGGCGTGAACTATGTTGGCGTGAACTTCTGTTAAGCTGTGAACAGTCAGTGAAGTGTTATTAAAAACTGGGGTGGTATTGTTCTGCTCACAGTTCATCAAAACAAATTTTACTATGCAATATTAAAGACATGTTAATGTGACTGTATTGTAAAGAATATACAGTGGGGGAAATACGTAGGGTTGGGTATCGTTTAGGGTTATTTCGATACCGTGATGCTAAATCGATACTTTTAAAACAGTACCAGTGCCAAAACGGTGCCTAAACCGATACTTTTTAGCCACAAAATTATGACAAAAAAACAAAAAAAAACATTTTCAATCATTATAATTGAACAATATAAATATGTCTTTATAATAAGTTTAAAGTAAACATCAATTCAGATTTAATTTTTTTTATTGCATTAATATTCTTTTGAATATTTCCTTTGGTCATTTGTTAGCATGAATGCTAGATTTGCATTATGCTATTAGCATTACATTAGCTTACTACTAACCTGTAGAAAAGCTGTCATTAAAATCAGTGAACACCTTTTTTCAGGGTTTAGGGCTTGTGACTACTTTTACATGGACATCAGTGATCTAATGATTTGCCTTAATCTGAATGAGACAATAATATGATTCAGGGGGGTTACATGAGTTGCTTTCTGAATGTTACATTCATGATTCCCTGTTACATGTTGTAGCACATAGATCCAGTAACATCATCACGTCACCAGCCTATAAATGTTTCCTCCGCAGTTTGTGTTTGTGGTCTTTTAAGATCATCAAAAATCACTGTTTACGTGGTAGACTCTTGATCAGAGTATTGTCTTAATCATATTATAATCGCGGCGTGGCGCACACATGACAGATGATAGTATCACACACCAGACGGGCACATTCTCATGTTATTTAAAATGAAACTATTCAGAGGGCGCTCTGTGGCGCGGCAGAAAATAAACAGTGTCCTGAGTCGAGGCTGGGCGACGCAGACAGCCGGCGACTTGTGAATTCTAAAATGCATGGCGCGATGCTGTCCGTCGCTACGGTGTGCGTCGCAGAGCGGCGCTTTTGGTGTGCGACCTGCTTTAAGTTCTTGTTGCAACACCAGTATCACCGGAGTTAGGCATTGAAATTCATATGCTGATTGCACCGGGTTTCGGTACCCAACCCTAGAAATAAGTATTGAATACGTAATGTTTTTTCATGGGAATAATATTTCCAAAGGAGCTGTTGACATGATTTTCAACCATATTTTGGTGAAAACCCAAACAAGACGAGCATAAAAATAAAAACAAAATAGAAAAATCTGACAAATTAGTTATGTGTAATAACAGCGAGGAAAGACACAAGGAGAAAGTACTGAACAACTGAAAGGTATTTAATATTTATATAAAATAACAGCTTAAAGACGCTTCCTATATGGAGAATGAAGTCACATGAATTGCTCAGATGTGATTTGTTCACAGACGTCAACAGAGTGTAAAAATCTGGATTGTTCGGTGGGTCTCATCTATCAATTCTGATCTTTATTTTGTATTTTATATTGAATTCGAGTCAGGTGGTTGGCTGGGCCATTCTACTGCTTGATTTTCTTTGTCTGAGTGAGAGATTTCATGGCTGTGTTTTGGATCATTATCTTGCTGAAATGTCCACCCTGGTTTCATCTTCATCTTTCTGGTATTGTAGATGTTGAACTGAAGCAGTTAATATTTACAATGAAGAAGGGCAGAGGGTTGGCGAAGACTGAGGGATTTCAGCTGCTGTGTGGCCTTTCGTTGCCTTTCTACACCTTTCTTTCTCATGTGTTTTTTATGCGTTGTTTAATTTTATTATACATAACTTCATTTGTGAACTAATTTTTTTTTTCTCTCTGCATATTTGGGCTTCTTTGGTTGTTACCAAAGAATTTCTTTTGTTTGTTTTTTATTTCATCTGAGAAAAATGGTGACATGTTCAATTCTTATATCATAAGAAAAAATAACATGGAGGGACAACTCGAACTTGAAAGAGCTTTTGGCCACAGACACCAAACGTAAAATTTATTTTTTAATAGGTGAAAAATAAAACATACCTCTCACTTAGACTTTACTATGTGTATGCACTGTAAAAATCTTGCTACCGTAAACGTTTTAGTTGGATCAAATAAAATTTTTAGTCATCACAATTTACATCAGTTAAACTGACTAATAATATGAAGCTTCATTCATTCATTAATTCAATAGTTTTCCTTCGGCTTAATCCCTTATTTATCAGGGGTTGCCACAGTGGAATGAACCGCCACTATTTCGACTAATGATTTACACAGTTCACACCCTTCCAGCCCCAACCCAGTACTGGGAAACACCCATACAGTCTCGCATTCACACACTCACTGATACACTACGACCATATTTCTTTTACTAATCACTTACATCGGACATGTCTTTGGATTGTGGGGGAAACCAGAGCACCCAGAGGAAACCCATGGCAACACCAGGAGAACATGCAAACTCCATAAAGAAATGGCAACCGGCCCAGCCGGGACTTGAACCAGCGACCTTCTTGCTGTGAGGGGACATTGCTAACCACTGAGCCACTTTGCCGCCCCAATATAAAGCTTTATATATCTAAAAAAAAAAAAATAGTTAAAACCTGATTAACTAATTGAAGTAAATTAATTCAATTCATTTATCAATTTTCTTTTTGGCTCAGTCCTTTTATTAATCAGGGGTCGCCACAGCGGAATGAACCGCTAACTTATCCAGCATATGTTTTACGCAGGGGAAGGCCTTCCAGCCGCAACCCAACACACATGCACTACGGCCAGTTTAGCTTATTCAAGTCACCTGTACCGCATGTCTTTGGATTGTGGGGGAAACCGGAGCACCCGGATGAAACCCGCGCCAAATGCCCGGGGACTCGGACCAGCGACCTTCTTGCTGTGAGGCAATCGTGCTACTCGCTGCGCCACTGTGATGCCCCCACTGAAGTAGATTAATGTAACATAAAATCATTTGTTGTCATAACTCTTTGTCATGACATTTTGTTCTATCATATTTTTTACAGTGTTGATTGTTTGCACTGCAACCTTAGTATTTGATATAATTTGTTTCAGTTATTTTGAACAGAAGTTTCCTGAACCAGAAATGCTACCCACAATTTGGAACACAGTCAAAAGATTTCAGGTTCCTTTCAAAGCAATAATGACAGGTTTAAATGTTGTTGTTACAATTGTATCAATTGTCAAGGCTGAATCATATCCAGTAATTGCAGATGCCTAAGCTGATTGGTTAAAAAAGTTTGGTAGAGCTTTAGTTTAAAGGCTCACCCCAAAATAAACATGACCTCTTTGTTTATACTCCTCATTTAAACAAATATTCCCAAATGATGTTTAACAGCTCACATTTTTTCACAGTATTTCCTATATATATTTATTCTTATGGAAAAAATCTTATTTGTTTTATTTTGGCTAGAATGAAAGCAGTTTTTTTATTTATTTAAATACATTTATGGTCAATATTATTAGCCCCCTGCCCTGACTTGCCTAATTAACCCAGTTAAGCCGAGTTAAGCCTTTAAATGTCACTTTAAGCTAAATACTAATATCTTGAAAAATACATAGTCAAATGTTATGTGCTGTCATCATGGCAAAGATAATATAAATTAGTTATTAGAAATTATATATTAAAGCTATTGTGTTTGGAAATGTCTAAAAACATCTTCTTTCCATTAAACAGAACTTGTGGGAAAAAATATTCAGGTGGGCCTAATAATTCTGACTTCAACTGTATATGGACAAACAACTTTAAACAAGAAAGGGTTTAAACGAAATGCCATGAAATCACATCATATGACCTCTTTAAGGAAACTGTTGCGCCACAGGATTGCAGCTCGCTGCTGACAGATCCTGGAGCTTTACACACCTGACAGGATGCAGGATGATGGAAATGTGTGATGTCAGCATGTGTGTGTGTCTGAAGGTTATCCAGAGGTCTGAAGTTAAGGTTGACATGCTGCGTTTAACCGAGAGAGACAGTCGGCGACTCAAACGCTTTGTAAACACTCACTCATGATGCGCTTGAGATTATTGCTTGATTTCTCTGAGGAGATGGAGTTTCGGCTTCTGGGGTTTGATGAATTGTTTAATTAATGCATACTGAAGACAACATAATAAGCCTCCTATGAAATTTAAATCTTTTTAAAATATTTCTGAAGTGCTGTTTAACTGAACAAGGAACATTTTCAGAGTATTTCCTATATTTTTTTTTTCAGGAGAAAGTCTTATTTCGTTATTCAATTCAATTCAATTCAGCTTTATTTGTATAGCGCTTTTACAATGTAGATTGTGTCAAAGCAGCTTCACATAAATGGTCATAGTAACTGGAATATAGTAGTTCAGTTTTTAGTGTTTCAGTTCAGTTCAGTTTAGCTCAGTTCAGTGTGGTTTAAAATCATTACTGAGAGTTCAAACACTGAAGAGCAAATTCATCGATACGTAGCTCTACCAGTCCTGAACCATGCGAGCCAGTGGTGACAGCGGAGAATATTGTATGTGTTATTATGTATGTTATATTGTTTTCTTTTGATGAAAATGTCAGATTTCTATTAGTTTGGCTGGAATAAATAAAAAATAACAAGTCAAAATTATATCCCCCTTAAATAAATAAGATAGATAGATAGACATAGATAGATAGATAGATAGATAGATAGATAGATAGATAGATAGATAGATGGATGGATGGATGGATGGATGGATGGATGGATGGACGGACGGACGGACGGACGGACGGACGGACGGACGGACGGACAGTTAGTTAGTTAGTTAGTTAGTTAGTTAGTGGAATATATAATTTAATCGGCTATAGAATTAACAACTCCTTCAATAAT